CGTTCCACCCTCCCTATCCTTCCCCCGCTTTCCCCCCCAAGCCAGTTTGCACTAAATTCGTGGATTTTTTGGTGTATTTCCGTTTGTGTGTGTATATGACAGATCTGTGCTTTGGTCTCTTCCCAGTGTGTTGTTAAATCTGTTTGTATTTGCTGTTGTATCATTTCTGTGAACTCCGGCCCGTCCATTCTCACTCCTTCCATCTCGTATGTGCAGCGCCGTCTCCATAGTGCCCAAATCACGGCCATGCATCCGAGCTTGAAGATGTTATGAGTGAAAGCATCCGCCTGCTCCTCAGACCATGTTTCTAACAGGAGTGTTCTCCAGTTCCAAGGCCAGGCCGTTGTTGTTCCCAGCTGATTCCAGATCCTGTCCCACCATCGCCAGAGCCAGATGGCCCCTGGGCACTGCAAGAAAATGTGCTCTATTGTTTCTGATCTTTTTCTGGAGGGGAAGGAAGTGGAGCATAACTTACACCACGGGAGGGCCCGTCCAATTTGTTCTAGGGTCGTCCGGTCTATCAACCAATCATTGGTTGGCAGGCAGCGGTGTTCCATCTGCCACTGAAGGGAGGCCAGTTTTGCAGGTTTCGATTTGGCTAGATAGAACCAGTTAGCCCCCCGGAGTTCATCCTTACTGATGTTTAGGTGCCTCATCCATCTATCCTCTACCCGGGCCCGGAGGTCAGTTCTAGGGCGGAGCATTCTATACGCAGACTTGACAGTCATATTGTGGAGGGTCCTAGTGCCCGGTTTCCTCCTTCCCCCCGGAACTGTCCATGACCATTCCGCTGGGTCAAAAGGAAGTTGTGCAATGGGGGTGTCTGGGGAGAAGGCCACCCAGTTAGCTCCATCCTTAAGGACCCTGATTCGCGACAGTTCCTCTTTTTGGTAGAATCGTATCTCTTCCTGTGCTGGCCTATGCAGGGTGTTGTCCCGACCTATTTTGAATATGTCGACCGCCACCGGCCCAATTGGGCTGCAACCCACCACATTCCCAATTTCCCCCTTGGCACCCTGAATCTGCACCCAGTCCGACTCTTGTAACGTGGGACCTTTCCTGAGGATTTTCCACCAGCTTAGGGAAATTCTCTCAATGATATCCTCTAGTGTCGTCTCCAGCCAATGGCTGTACCGTAGCTTTTGCCTCAGTAGGTCCTTGTCAATCCAGTCTGTCGTCACCGGGTGCCATATATCACTTAGTACTCTGATTACACCCCTCTTCACCCACACCAGCCAAGGGGAGTCCGCGCCACGGAGGACCTGGCCTCTGGTATTGACCAGTTTCCTATTGTCAAAGAGAGGCTGTCGGAACAGCTCATCCCATCTCTCTGGTAGTACCTTATCCGGCAGGGGAAGACTCCTCCATGTGTTCAGCAGGGATGGCCAGAAGCGATCATTACGCAGGTAATTTCTTGCCCGTTCTTTCGACAAATTCAGCCCGGGGTTCTGATGTCTGGCGTATCCTCGCGGTATTGGCCATCCCCTATTTTCCAACCATGTCAGTGGGTGTGTTCGTGCTGCTGTTTCCGGAGCCAGCCTGGCTATTTGTTCCAGGGCCAGCCCTCTCCATGGGGTGTCCGGGTTAAAGAGCAGGCGTTTGAGCCATTGCAGGGCTAAGGCCCTGGTTTGAATTGTTGGGTCAATTATGCCCAGCCCCCCTTTGGTTTTGGGATTATGGACTGCCATGCTACCCTGCTGATTGCCTGGTGTTTTTTCGGGTCGCCCTTCCATAGAAATGCGGCTATCTGGCGTTTCAGAGGTCGAAGGGTTGTTTTGTCAAGAGCCCAAATAGCTGACCGGTACCACAGGGAGGCAAGGACTACATTGTTGATTACCAAGGATCGTCCCATCAGCGAGGTATGCCGGTCCTTCCACTGTGTTAACTTTTCCAAGGGTGGTTTGGAGATCCAGTCATTATTCCCTGATGGTCTACCGTTTGTTGACAGTGCGACACCCAACACCCGAATGGGGGATTCATTTGGAAGCCATTTAACTTTCGGTTTCTTCGGGGGTCTGACACCTTGATGGTGGATCCACCATCCCAGGGTTTTGTTCCCCCAATTGACTCTCATATCCGACAGGGTACAAAATTTTTCCATCATTTGTTACACCTCCTCCATTGATGCGTGGGATGCCTCCACCATCAGGGTGAGATCGTCAGCGAACAGCGAGCACACTGAGACTGCGTCCTCGGGGATTGAGGAGATCTGGATTTTCCTAATGTCCTTGTTGGTCCACAGATTCGCTGCTAGGGCTTCCATTACTATCACAAACAGATACGGGGCGATCGGGTCCCCTTGCCTGACAGATCTCTGGAAGGAGATAGGCGGCGCGAGGTTGTCATTGATCATGACCCTAGTTCTCGCATTTTTGTGTAGGATTTCCGCCTGAAGGTGGGACCAAAATTAAGCTTTTCCAGACATTTGTCTAGAAAAACCCAATCTACATGATCATATGCTTTTTCAAAATCAATAAAGATGATTGTCGCGTTGTGTTTTGACTGTCTTGTAAGTTTGATCACCTCGTTGACAAGAAGGATGTTATCCTGGATGTTCCTGCATTCGATGAAGCCAGTCTGGTCAGGGTGGATGATGTTAGCCATTATCTTAGCCATGCGGTTGGCCAGTGCCTTCGCCACCATTTTATAAACCACTGTAAGGAGAGTGATAGGTCTATAATTCATAATATTGGTGCTTTCACCTTTCTTGTAGATAAGCGTCAACACCCCTTGGCCCACAAATTCCCCCATTTGGCTTGTCTCCCACAGTGTGTGATAGTAGTCCATCAGGTCTTGGGAAATGGTTCCCCACATTGACTCCCAAAACTTCTTTGGCAGACCATTAATACCCGGAGTCTTCTCCTCGTCCATGAGCATCAGGGTTGTCCACACCTCCTCATTTGTTAGTGGCATCTCCAGTTGCTTTCTCTGGTGCTCTGTAAGAGTTCGGGAGAGGGGCCGCAAAAACTCCTCTATCTCCCCTAGTCGTTGTGCGAGGGGCCTGTCCCCACATTCCGACTTGAAGAGGTTATGATAGAAATCCCTTGCTATTTTGGTGCACTCCGCTGTTGAGGTGAACAACTGTCCCTGGTGTAGATTGGGGTCCTCAAGTGCTTCAATAGTTGTTCTTCCCACCTTTGTCTTTGCCATTGCAAAGAACCTTACATCCATTGATCCTTCCACCTTATGTTTGTGCAGCTTGTCGCGGATCCTAATGCCTTGCCATTTATGTTCCATGTGGCCAAGGATCCGGGTTTCAAGTGTCAGTATTTCTTCAGCCAGTGCTTTTTGTCGTTCAGTGTCATCAGTTCCGTCTTCATCTTTTTGTTGTTGGAGATACTGTAGTCGGTTTTGTAATTCGATTTCCTCGGCGTGGTGCTGGGCCGCGCGTAATTTTGAGTATTCGTTGCACTTGCGTCTTAGGAAAGACAGACCGTTGTTGAACCAAAGTATGTCGTCTTGGAGCTGGTCCCTTTGTTGTTGCCAGAAGGACCAAGCCTCCTTTAAGTAGGCTTTGAAGCGGTCGATAGTCAGTAAGGATGTATTGAGCTTGTAGAACCCTTTTCCCTGGTCTGGTTTCTTCCGAAAGGAGAAGATAGCCAGGCACATTGCGTGGTCCAAACCCAGATGGGGGCTCCGAGGGAAAATCTCGGCTATTTGTAGTGCCCCCTATAATTCTTCAGAAATAAGAATTAGGTCTATACGTGATTTGGAGATGCGCTCTGTTTGGTTCTTGCGGTAGCAATGCCATGTGAATTTACGCCGAGACAGGTGTCTCAGACGAAAGGAATCGATGAGGCCGAGTGACTGGGACAAATCTGTGATGATTCATTAATCATTCTCTATATATATTGGGCATGGTGAGGGGACCCTCCATCTGTCAAGCCATCGGTTCGGGGCCGCGTTGAAGTCGCCTGTTAGGATAACCGGGATCCCCCCAGGTAAGTCAGGCTTCAGGTGTTCAAAGAAAGTCTGTCTCTCCCTAGGGTCATTCGGAGCATATATGTTGTGGATTGTCACCACCTCTAGTTCCAGCATAGCGAGGAGATAGACCCACCTGCCACCATCCGGATCCGCCGACCAGTTTAAGGGTTCCACCCGCGATCCCGGCGGAAGTCATATGGCCACCCCGCCGCTGCCCGGTCTTTGGGCGTGTGCTCTGTAGGATTGATATGGCCAGATTTCTTTGTGGGTGTGGTTATGTTCCGGGGTGTTTAATAAGTGCGTTTCTTGTATACAGACCACGTTTGGCCAGTCCCTGCCCTCCACCCCTTTGAGTTGCTCCATTATTGCTTGCCTCTTGAAATGATTTGCCGAGGCAAGCCCGTTGACATTCAGGGAGCGGAGGTCAAGGTCTACGGCTCTCTTAGAGAGCTTTCATTGTTTGTCCCTATTAAACAATGCATCAATAATATTCATTTCAGTTGCTGCTTAATTTTTGTTGCTTCCTTGATCTGCCTGCAGGGGCCTCCTAGAGGGGGAGCCACAGGGTTGTGCTCAGTGTACCCCCATTTCGCAAGGTTCCATTAAGCACCAATTTGGCTAAGAGTGTCGTGGTTTCCTCTGCAGCCCAAAGGTCGCCAGGTTTGATTTCCAGTAATTGCAGGTCCAACAAGGCTTCCTCGTTGAACCAACGGAGATCCACCTCCTCGTGGCCATACTGAATGTAAATGTCCTTGCCAGACAGTCTCTGTTTACCATATGAGACAACAAGTGCAGAGGAGGCTCCTAATGGGAGTCGGTATTTTCCCAACTGAATAATACCTGATCTAAGCAGGGTGGGGCCATCTCCCCACGATGAGAGGGAGAGGAGGAAGGATGACCTCCCTTTTAGAGTAACCTCGCCGTGTGTTGCCCCGGATGGTATAGATAGCCCTACTTCCCATGTCTTCTCTCGTTATCTGACCGGTACAAAGATCAGACCTTTTTCTAGCGGCTCTTGTAGGGCACCTTCCTTTTCTAGCACCTAGCGCAGTTTTTGTCTCCTGCTAGTAAGGTCCAGGTCCGGGGGTTTCGGGGCGGGGGGGGGGGGTCCGAGGGGGCTGACTTCTGTGGCATTTGGTTGTTGCATCCGGTCCCCATGCTGCCAATGCTAGACAGAGGCCTTCTTCCTCTTGCCTCCGCGGAATATTATGGTCTCGACCGGTTGCTTCCCTTCGCCCACTTGTGTCTCTCCGTTCCCCAGCCTCCCAGAATCATGATCACCTTGTTCCCTTTCCTCTGCTCTTCCCCTTTTTGCCTGTTGTTCATCGTTCTCCCTGATTCCTTCCCTCCCTTCTCCCTCCGTCCCTTCTCCCTCCGTCCCTTCTCCCTCGTGTGTCTCCCCGCTCCCCATCATGTCGTTCGGTGTCTGTTCGGTTTGATTACTGATTTGTTCTCGTCCCTTGTTAGCCTTTTCCTGGCCCCCCCCTTCCAAATCGCCCTCTTCTCCTCGCTGTTGTTGTGAGTCGATACTGGCCACTTCCTCCTTTTCTCGTCCCGCCTGTGAATCCCCCTTGCACGTTTCAGATATATCACCATTACCCGCTACACTGTTGGCGATTGTGCTGGACATCGCCGAGGGGGCTGAGCTTGCTGCCTGCGGTTCCCCAGTTTGGGAGAGGTTAATTACTATCGCAAGCAGTTTGTGGCAGATGCTCTGCCAATTAGTCCCTGCCGGCAGTCCATTTGCTAAGGCCGCTTTGAGGCTCCCGCTGTTTTTCAATAGTGGGATAAGGGCTCTGTACGTGTCATCCCAGAAGTCGTCGTCCCGCCCTGTGAATTTCATCTGGAGGCTGTCCATCAGCCAGTCCGCCACCTTTCTCATACAATCTTCCGGGGCGTTTGCTGCAGTTGCCCCATTTGTAGCGCTCTCTTCTGCTTGCGCTTGAGCATGAGATGTGTACTGAGATGTGTGCTGACCTGTCTCTTCGATAGCGTCCTCCATCACGATCTCCGGGGGTGGGGGCGGGGGCGGGGGGGCTCCTGGGATGGACTCCATCTCCATCGGTGAGGGGCCAAATGCCTCTTTAAACAGTTCTTTAGTGGTGTTTGGTTGTTCCCTGTTCGTGCCTTCCTTGTCCTTTCCCCGGGGTGGTTTTTTTCTGGGCTTTCCCCAATTTTCTCCCCGCCACCCCGATCCCCCAACAGGCGTCCTGTTGGTAGGTAGGCAGCTGCTGCCGGCCCTAGGGGTGGGTCCGCCTCCGTTCCCTTGTTTTTTTCCGGGCTTTCCCCCATTTTCTCGCACCCACCCGGATCCCCCAACAGACGTCCTGTTGGTAGGTAGGCAGCTGCTGCCGGCCCCATCGGCAGGCGCCTCTTCTTTCTCTACAGGCCCTACGACTGGTGCTGCATGTTTTGCGGGTGCTCGGGTTCCTGTTGGAGCGGGGGTTTGGGCGAGGGGGCCTGCGGGCGTCCAGGCGAGGGTGACTGCGGTTGCCCTTGCGGGGGCGTGGTTGGGGTGCCCATATGACCATTCCCTATTGTTTTGCCGGGGGGCCCCGTTCCATCGGGGGTCTGGTAGGTTTGCACGGGTCTCCCCTCCCTTCCCAAGTCCATCCCTTTGGTTGTCCCTTGTGATCTCTGTCATCCAAGTAGACCCAGCCACCGTGGCTTGATTCCTCCGTATACCATCTGTTGGGGCGTCGGGGGTCTTGGCGAAGCCGCCCCGCCTCCGGTTTCCTTTTGTTCGCGCTTGAGCATGAGATATGTACTGAGGTGTGTACTGATCTGTCTCTTCGATAGCGTCCTCCATCACGATCTCCGGGGGTGGGGGCGGGGGCGGGGGGGCTCCTGGGATGGACTCCATCTCCATCGCTGAGGGGCCAAATGCCTCCTTAAACAGGTCTTCAGTGGTGTGTGGTTGTTCCCTGTTCGTCCCTTCCTTGTCCCTTCCCCAGGGTGGCTCCACCTCTGTTCCTTCGTTTTTTTCTGGGTTTTCCCCCATTTTCTCCCCGCCACCCCGATCCCCCAACAGGCGTCTTGTTGGTAGGTAGGCAGCTGCTGCCGGCCCCAGGGGTGGGTCCGCCTCCGTTCCCTTGTTTTTTTCTGTGCTTTCCCCCATTTTCTCGCCGCCACCCCGATCCCCCAACAGACGTCCTGTTGGTAGGTAGGCAGCTGCTGCCGGCCCCATCGGCAGGCGCCTCTTCTTTCTCTGCAAGCCCTGCGACTGGTGCTGCATGTTTTGCGGGTGCTCGGGTTCCTGTTGGAGCGGGGGCTTGGGCGAGGGGGCCTGCGGGCGTCCAAGCGAGGGTGACTGCGGTTGCCCTTCCGGGCGCGTGGTTGGGATGCCCATATGGCCATTCCCTATTGTTTTGCCAGGGGGGGGCCATTCCATCGGGGGTCTGGTAGGTCTGCACGGGTCTCCCCTCCCTTCCCAAGTCCATCCCTTTGGTTGTCCCTTGTGATCTCTGTCATCCAAGTAGACCCAGCCGTCGTGGCCTGATTCCTCTGTATACCATTTGTTGGGGCGCCGGGGGTCTTGGCGAAGCCCTACCCGTGGCAACCCAAAAAGATAACCCCGGAAGAGAAAAGGGAGCAAATGATGAAAGACTACTTCTGGGTGGAACTCAGACACATCCTGGTCGAAGTGCAGGCAACCTTTATTCATGACCTGGGACAACACTATACCATCGTCGATTTTATTGATGCACTTCCATCGTACGTTGCTAAGAGGGACGATTATGTGATGTTAGCTCTCGATCTACCGAAGGACCAGCCCTTCTCGATAGACGATATCGCTCCCTTTAAAATGGGTGGGAAGACGTACCAAATCCATACAGCCCACAAATTCAGGCCCTGGTGCTTTAAATGCAGGGCGTATGGACATTTATGCACAGAATCAGCCGGACCTCAATGGCTGGAAGCGCCAGCCAAAACAATTTCGAAACGGTACCCCAACGCTTCGGCGAAAATCGGCGCGCAGGGGCATTCCAGGCTCGGGATCGATAGCTGGGCCAAGTACTGGTGGTTTAACCACATTTATTCTGATGAAACCACCAGTACTTATGACCCTTCCCTTGCAGAGCTTGGAAAAGCCCGGCATGCCAAAGAAAACTGAACCAGCCGGTTTTCCGTTTTGGCTGGCGCCATCAGACATTTAGCTTTGGCAGGCTGTGCCCCAGAAGGCGCAGTGCCTTAAACCACCAGTACTTGGCCCAGCTATCGGCCGCGGAAAAAAATAGAGTAAAAACTTTTATAGTCGGATGAATTTGGGCATTCCCGTAGTAGCCCATACGTTTCCTTAAATCGCGGCGCGTTAACGGGCACAACTCTAGGAAGTACTGGTGGTTTAACGGCCGTCATGGCGTTGGAGAAAAATGGCTGTGAAACATAGTCACTGTGGTGGTTAAGCATCAAAGACTGCCTGACAACAGATACCCTGCAAGGACTGAATTTTTTTCTTTTTTCTTGGTTACCCCTAGACTAAGTATGAGGCCCCGCCAACCCACCTCTCTTCAATGTCCTCAGCTCATCCCCACTTCGCCCCATCCTACCCCAGTGCCTACCACTCAGGACCATCACCCTTCCACCATCTTGGTAGGGTAACCTGACCAGACAGTAGCGGCACTCACCCCGGGGCTTAGCAGAGGCCGCACTCAGGCCTGGTTGAAGCATATTCGATAGAGCCCTGTCGTACAGGTACTTCAGGCGCTACTAATATGCATGTTCTTCCTCTCTGCAGACCTCAGTCATGGGTAGACCCTCGATGTCCCCGGAACTTACCCACGCCTGCAGTGTAGATCTTTATCGTCTGCGCCTTGGATATCACGGGCAGTGTCTTATGGCACCCCTGTACCGTAGTAGCCATTGGCAAGGTCTAACCCCTTTGACAACCCTGAGCAACCTACACGTAGGTATACCCACCTGGCACAGCTATTGCCAGTCATTCTGATGGTGTTATTACTACTTTTCATTCTTTTTTTTTTTTTTTTTTTTTTTTTTTTTTTTTCAAAACAAACTCCACCAGATGGTGTTATTCCTCACATTTGCTGTTAATATGCTGTTGTTATTCTGGGTGGTTTGTTCTCGTCATCATGTTGTTATTGCTTGTAATTGTACCCCTGTTAATCTGCTCAGGGAGCACTAAACTCTACACCAAACAGATCTAGATTCAGAGCCCAGGCACGCTACCGTCTTCACCCAAATAGAATGCCCGGTAATTATCGCCGTATCTGGGCTGAAAGTTGTGCCAAATACAGCTATAATGACTGGGCGTTCTATTCGGGTGAAGACCGTAGTTTCTCTCTCAAACGAGAAAGAATGATGAAGTCGAAGCAGACTATCATTCAGCCCCACTAGACGGACACTCTATAGACTGCAGGTTCACACCCCATCATAAGCCGGCGAAACCACACCAAACAAGAAAGACAGCCAGAAAATACACTCCAGACACTCTGCTGGCCCTAGAGGCACCGAATGGCCGCATGGTGAGCTGTATGTCTGTGGGGCTCGCCGCACGGCACAACTAACGAAACGAAACGATCACCAGAGTCGCGAGGCCTCACGAAGCCCTGATCCACCGTTTCGCTTCGTTTTTTGCCTCACCGCCCCACAGCACACACGAAAACTCTAGCGACAACGCCCTGGCGACAGTAGTGGGGGATTCGTTTCGCTACAGTCCAAATTTGTGGCTTGGATGGACTTTGTTTGGAGCGATGCAGCACACTCGTGAAATTTTGCAGCTCCTCCAGCCTACCGGCGGAGGACCTACGAGTTCGCGAGGGCTGCAGGCAGGGAGGAGTCGGCACACTCGTGAGGCCTCGCGAACTCGGAGGCTGACAGCATTCACGAGTTTTTTCTGACACAGTTCGTGTGGGTGCTATGCGGCGATGACTTCACGAAACGAAGTCGTTTTTTTTTTCATTTCTTGCACCATGTGGCGAGGCCCTGTGTCTGTGCTCTTGTGTGCATGTCTGCCAGGTACTAAGTAGATTTCCTAAAGTTTCCAGATTCGTCCAACTTTGTATTTTGGAAGCATAAACAGTATATATGGAAATACAGTTAGCCCATCTACTACTCAGTCTGCATCCATCAGCATTGATCTGTTTTATGGATGATTAATAGATTATATGTGTCTGAAAGATTTAGCCACTCAGGGGTACCCCACCAGTTTTTCTCACAGCTGCACCCGACACAAGGGGCCAAGGAGGGCCAGGGAGGGGAGGAGGGGGGGAGCTGGAGGAGGATGGAGTCACCAGTCACTAGGCTCAGTTAGGGTTATCCTTTTGCCTACATAGGGGCAACAGACCCTCAAAGTGAAAAAGAGCTCCAGTTTAATGGTGTTTAAACCACAAGTAAAGCGGACCCTAAATTGTTGAGCCTTTTTTTTCTTGTGCCCGAATGAATCCATCTGCGTGGTATATACGACTGCAAGTTTCAGCAGGCCTGGGGCACCTATTGCTGGTTTAAACCACCAGTACCCTCGCCAGCCTTCCGGCGGGACCTATCAGTTAACACAGCACGGATTCTGAATGGTTTTGGATTCTCTGGAGGACTGGCAGCAGCAGGCAAATCAAGTCACATGAATGATTCCATAGGGCCGGCCGAAAAGCGCATTGGAAAAAAGAGCCTCAGGCCAGAAGGTGCCACCACCCGAGGCTGTTTCTCCGAACGCACGCGCCCCCTGCGCGCTGAAATTTGCTGAAGCGCCAGCACGGCGTTTTTCCTTGTGTTCGGCTGTGAGGACAACCATTTCGGTCCATTCGCCCCGAGCTCCGCAAGCCCCAAAAATTTGGTCGTGGCGACAAGCTCTTTTTCTGCAAGGCTGGGGCTGTGTACTTGTGGTTTATTTAAACTTTGAAGGGGTTCACAGTTGCCTTCTTGATGGGGATGGAACATCCTGTTACATCCACTTTTGACCATTTTCAAATTGACCCCTGGGCTGTCCATCACAGATCATAGATCAATCAATTTTGCCCCTGGAACACAGCCCACTGACCCCAGCAGTGGGTCAGTTCCAGACATCCTGACCAGTCTCTTTCTGTTTTTTTTTTTTTTTTTTAAATTAAAGTCCAGGGTGTTGGCAGCATTACTTTGGAAAAGGCACCCCTCCCTCTCCCCCCCCCACCCTATTCAAACTTTAAGGATAATAAAGGTGCAGAAACCCACT